GGGCCCCGGACCACCCCCCTCCCCTGCACCCCCAAGGCTCTACAAGCACCCCCCGGGGCTTGCCCTCCCCGGCCCGGCCGCGGAGAAGTTTAAAAAAGTGGAAAAAGAGGGAATTGCTCTGCGTCCTCCCGCCGGGTGCCTTTGCCTGGTGGGCGCAAGGGGAAAGCGGTGGGATCAGGAAGGGCGCTTTTTCTTTCATTTTTTTTTAATTGATTTCCACCTCTAATTCCAGGTAGCTCAGGCTAGTAGACTGTCCTTTCTGGCTGTCTGCTTGGGAAGTAGTTTGGTAACCTTTTCTCGGGGGTTTTACACATTGCTGTAATAAGAGAGAACGCTCTCGATGTGTCAGAGAAAACCCTGTTTAAAAGCCAAAACTCAGGCTTCCGTAGGAGTCCTCCTTTCAGACAAATGCATGTACTCTCTCAGTTCATATCTACTTTTTGGTGAAAAACTCCCTCTGAATGATGTGTACTTCTTGCGTGCTTTGAATCCAAGAGGTTCCTATGTTTGAACATAAAAATTGGTGGGGAGCTTCTTTATAAGAACACTAGGTGAGCACAAGTGGGGAAAGCCCTTATCACTAGCAGATAATGCTTCATAAAGATTATCTTAATTAAGAAACTTTAATCAAAACAATTGTAATCATGGACGGTATTTTTAAGGTTGAACTTCAATCAGAATCAACAGAGTCTGAGGGGAGAAATGTTAGGTTTTTACAAAGAAAAAGAGATGAGTGACACAGTTTTTATTTATTTGGGAAGATGTGTTTCATTTAGACTCCTCCCTTTATAAGACTAAATACACGGGGGTGCTGCCTGGGGTGAATTACCGCGTCTTCAGTGAGGACAAAAAGTAATGCTGGTTGATACTTGCTGGGTCTGGCCCATATATTCCACCAGAAACCCCACCTGCCCCTGCTCTCTGCGCAAGAAAATAACTCCACAGTGTTAAACCCACTGGTACTATCTTTTAGGTCACTCGTGTCTGTATAGTAAAGGGTGCTGGAAGTGGATTAGTCAGAAAATAGGCTCTTTTAGGTATTTTCTTAACGAAGATCTAGTTCCCCAACTGCCCAGCTCTTTTGGCTTCAAGGCAGCTTTGTCTGGGCCTTATCTTCACACTAAATTCGGAAATCTGACTTGGCTGCCCATATGGTACTTCTGCTCTAGCTCCAGTGTGCTACAGGGCTGCATCCTCCACCCTTTGAAATCAGAGACAGTGTTGCCAGACTTGTCTGAATTATTCCTGATGTTTTCATTTCTTTGATGCTTGCTTTTCTTTATTTAGATAAGTTCTGGTGAAATGATTCACCTGTGTGTAGAAGTATGAATGGCAGATTGAGTGCTTGGAAAGCTTGACTTTCAGAGCATTTTAAGGGATTGATTGACTTCTATAATATGGTAGCTGGTAGAAAAATTATACCTTTCAGAGCTGTGTTACCTGAACTTGATCAACATTGCAAGATGGTTTAAATATTATCTCCAGCTGCATCTCCAGCAGACAGGGTCTGCATCAGGCTGAGGAAAAATGCTATCAGCGCTCCAAGCAGAATGTAAATATGAGTGGAATGGTTTGTCTTTGTCTCTGAGAACTGCTGCTGAGTAACAGGGAAGGAGAAAATCAGAATGTAGTCAGATAATTCTGTCTGTTTGAGGTTGTGTCAATTGGAGTTAAGTGTAAACATCCAGAATAATTCACTGTAGTGATGACAAGTCCATTAAACCTCAGCGTGCATCCCACCAAAACCTCTGGGATGTGGAGAACAGCAGTATATCCAGAAATTATTACAGTGGGCTGGAAACAGCCCATCGTGAACGGTGTCCCACACCCGAGGAAGACTGAGCAAGACTTCCCTGCACTTCACCACGAGCCAGATCACACTTCAAATTTTATTTCATCATACACGGTGGGTTAGCAGTACTGCATGTAGATGTTATTTCTCTGCTAAGTTCTCATCCAGCTTTTACAGAAAATCCTTATTAACTCAGTTAGAAAGCACACTTTGGCGGTGGCAGGGCTCATTTTATGTCGTTTGATAGAAAGGAGGGTTTACACATTCGCGGGAGATCTGTCACTCTCATGTGAAACGTAAGGCTGTCTGTGCACGGAGATCTGCATGTGCATTTGGGAGCTGGTCTTGTGTTCAGGCACCACCATGAACCTTTAAAGCAGAGGCACCGCTGCGATGCTGGGCCGAGCAGTGACACTAACTGATACTTAAGTTAATTTCTAGGAGCAGTAAGTGGAAGTGCTTTGAAAAACAGGAGCTTAAATATTCATATTTTACAGAAAGACTTGTAATGCTTTAAACATAGCTGATTTTTTAATGGTTGTAGGATCTTTCAGCCTGACCATATGTGACTGCCTCTTGTCTGGGTCTCGCTTTGGAGTGACACAGCCAGAGCTGTGTCCTGGCTGTAGAAGCTGGGTAGAAGCTGGGGCTGATATCTAAGAGCTATACCCAGCAATGTTCTGTCTGCTCTTGCTCTCTGGCTGTGCTTGTGAGGGTGGTTTGTATTTTTCAGCTTGTCAGGGTGTTGGTTTTTTTTTTCCTCAAGCAATTCTTTAGCAGGCAGAGGATTTGCTTTACTTTCAGTATTGGGAATGAGTTTGGGAATCTTTGATGGTGAATAAGGAACATCAGATGTTTGTTTTCAAGGCTGGGCATGTTTTTTCTGTAGCAAGGAGGGGCGACCCAGAATATTCTCTTCCTGTGGCCATGACCCTAAATTCCCACACTGCAGCAGATAAATAATTCACAGCTGGTAGCATCACTCCTCGACCCCTCTTTAGCCCTCAGCGATGGTACCCATTGCACTTTCTGCTGGGTTAGCAATGCACAAATTGGAAACTGGTTACAGTTCGCAGCTGGGGTTTGAAATATTACCAGTTGCTTCCTGCATGGGCAGCCAAGGCCCTTCCTTGCAAACCAGCGAGAGGCAGTGGCCGTGATACCCTTCGGGCAGTGGTGGGACCCCAGCTGTTCTCGCAGGGATTTTTCCCAAGGAACTAGCTCTGTATCCTGCCAAAAGGCTATCTTCTATATCTCTCCTTGCGTGGCGTGTGTCTGATAAGTGTTTTGGTTTTTGAAAGGGAGAAGGGGCACTCAGAGTGCCTCATGTTACTCTACTCCTAAGGCATCTTTGTTGCTGCAAGGAGGAAATATATCTGTGCCACCCTTTGCTTTGGTCTCTGCCTTTGCATCCTCTGCTCTGCGAATAATAATGGTGATTTTTTTTTATAAATGAACATCCTTTTCCCTTGTAGAGGCCACAGTTAAATTGATCAATTTCTTGCCGTCTTTACTCTGTGGCTCTGAATTTCAAGAGGCAATGGATCTGTTTGTCCACAGACCCGGGCAGGCCACGTGCACTGTTTTTGTGTGATGCCAACGTAAAATACAAGAGGTTTTCTCTTCCTGCAGGCTGCATCTCACCACAGCTCTTGGGTCCTGCGGGTGCTGGGGGGGGTCGCTGGAGAGTAACTGGTTTCAGCCCTCTTTGCTAAGGGTGGAGCTGGTGAAAACTCCCTGTCTCCAGGCTTCCTTGTGATCACAGCTGGTTGGGTTCTGCTCTCCGCTGGCGTGTGTAGCTTGAGCCAAACAATCAAACTTCATACCTCCCCAGGGCAGGCAGAGAGTGCTCTGAACACACTCCTGGCCGCAGGAACTATACAGAAGATTTTCTTTCTTGGATGCTGTCACCACTTTCTCTCTCTTTCCACTGATTTGTTTTTATGCCCTGCTTTTTTTTTTTTTTCCTTTTTTTTTTTTTTTTGTGTGATGCCAACGTAAAATACAAGAGGTTTTCTCTTCCTGCAGGCTGCATCTCACCACAGCTCTTGGGTCCTGCGGGTGCTGGGGGGGGTCGCTGGAGAGTAACTGGTTTCAGCCCTCTTTGCTAAGGGTGGAGCTGGTGAAAACTCCCTGTCTCCAGGCTTCCTTGTGATCACAGCTGGTTGGGTTCTGCTCTCCGCTGGCG